ATTTTACATCTAAATGCATCAGAGGCCAATTCCTGTTAGCAGCTATTGCAATCACTAGTCTGATTGTTTCATGTCTCGCTACAGGTGCAAACACTTCAAAGTAATCCAGTCCGAGCTTCTGTAGGAAGCCTCTTGCTACTAATCTTGCTTTGTGTTTGCCAATTGATCCATCTGGCTTTAGTTTCTGCTTTAAAACCCATCTGACGTTGATGGCTTTCTTGCCTTTTGGAAGTTCTGTCAGCTTCCAAGTCTTGTTTCTCTCTATAGCATCAAGTTCTTCTTTCATGGCCTGTAACCAAACTTGCTGCTTAAGAGCCTCTTCCGTACTCACGGGTTCAGATTCTACTAACATTGCACACTGAATAACTTCTCCTTCAGAGTTTACTTCAGTGTCTAGCAACATGTCAAACTCTTCAAATCTTCTTGGGATGCTTCTGACTCTTTGTTGCCTCTAAACTGGACCTTCAGAATTTTGGACACCATAACTTTCCCCTTCAGAAGCACTTGCTTCAGAAATTTGACTTTCTCCAGAACCTTGAATGTCTTCAGAGTTTGGATCACCATCGGAGTCAAAGCCACTACCTTCAGAAATAGCATCTTCAATAATCGGATCACCTCTGCCTTCAAAAGTTCCACTTTCAGAATCATGATCATCGTCAAAGGTTGAATTTCCTTCAGAAGCTCCTCCTTCAGAAGGTCCAACCTTAGAGTCATGATTTCCACCAGAAACTTGATCATCTTTAGAAGCTTGTCCTCCAGAACCTACGTCTTTAGAGTTTTCCCTTCCATAAGCATGATCACCACCAAATTCTGGATCATCATCAAAATCTGGATCAGAATCAGATTCACCATCTGGCTCACCTTCAGAGTTTCCAGAGTCATCATCTTCCGACTCTTCTTCAGAAGCAGAATCTTCTTCAGACTCAGAATCACCTTCGGATTCTGACTTGTCTTCAGCTTCAGAGTCATCTTCTAACTCTAACTCGTCTTCAAAAACCTCAGATTCTGACTCATCTTCAAAATCTCCAGCGTCATCTTCTGATTCTGACTCAGAGTCATATTCTGATTCTGACTCATACAAAATCACTCCTTCAAACTCAGAATATTCAGAGTCATATTCTTCTTCCCCTTCAGAATCAGAAAATGACAATTTCACTGGTTCTTCATCAGATTCATAAGCCATAAATAGCACAGGTCCATCATCTGAATCTCCTCTGACTATATTTGCTTCTTCTGACTTCCTTTCTTTGTTTGACCAGCAATCTTTGGCATAGTGACCGAAGTTCCTGCAACAATAACACTGAACATTCTTCTTGCCATACTTCTCCTTTCCCTTCTGGACATTCTTCTGCCTATCAGAGTTTGAAGCTTCTGACTTTTGACCACCATTAGTTCTCTTCCTGGCTTCTGACCAAGTCTGCTTCTGATGCTTCTTACCAGAAGTTACTTTCAGATCCCGCTGCTCTACTTCCCTCTCAGAAGTTCTTGCAGTCATACGCAACTCATGCGCCTATAGACTACTTTACAGCTCTTCAACTCTCATGGTGCTCAGATCTTTGGAATGTTCAATTGCTACAACAATGTAATCAAACTGAGAAGTTAAAGATCTCAAGATCTTCTCAATAATTACTTGTTCAGACAGAGTTTCTCCACAAGCTTTCATCTAATTAGTAATCAGAATCACTCTAGAGATATATTCAGAAACCTTCTCGTTGTTCTTCATGTTGAGATTCTCATATTGCTTTCTGAGAGACTGAAGTTTCGCCTTCTTCACTGATGCGCCACCACCATAACATCTGACCAATGTGTCCCACGCAGCCTTTGCTATTTCAGAATCATCAATCTTCTCAAACACATTCACATCCACACATTGATAGATGTAGAACAACGCTTTCTGATCTTTCTTCCTCAGCGCCTTCTGTGCTATCTTATGGGTCTCTGTTGCGTCTCCTTCTAACAGATTATAGCCATCAGTGACAAGATCTAACACATCTTGAGAACCAAATAACATGCGCATCTGGATCTTCCAACGATTCCAGTTTTTGCCATCAAATACTGGAAGCTTGGAATGAATAACGCTGTTTCCGTTCATCTTCTACCTTGTGCAATTTACGCAGAAACTCAATGAAAAAACAATGTTTCCCAAATTTCAGAGTTTCTAACCAGGAGCTCTAGATACCAATTGTTGGAGCACAAGGAAGATAAAAGGCAAAAGAAATATTTACTAATAGCTTCAAAAATAAAGATTTACAATGAATTACAATAATCTACTTCACTAGACTATTTATACACACAACTTAAATCTAAAATATATCTTCTACAAAGATATAAGAAGATCTAAGATATATATCTTCTAACAAAAATATAAACAATCTAAAAGATATTCCTAAATATAAACTAATATCTAATTAAATCTAAATTAATTCTAACACTCTCTTCCAACTACTTCACCTCTCTTATCTTTCTCTTTCATTATTACCACATCCACAAAATCCATTCTTTTGTATAATAAATTCAAACTCTGGCTACTTCCCATTACTACAGTCGTTGACGCTACAAAATAATTGATCTCAACTAAATAATATGTTAGAATTTCAACTCTGTAGAATATTAAATATATAACAAGGTGGTTCAATATCTAATAGTATTTTGATATTATCATAGACTTAATTTTACTATTGATTTTGATTATTGTATGCTAAAATAAATCTTTTAAAGAATTTGGATTTTTATGGATTTGGAAGGAAGAAGATCTGAGTGGAAAAATCTGAAAAAATAGGAAGAATATCTACAATATAAATTAATTCAATTTCTAAATCAACTTCAATTTAATTTAGAAAATAAATTAACTTTAATATAACATTTATGTTAAATTAATTTAATCTATTTTAGTTTATTTTAATTTTCTTAATTTAATATTTTTATATATTATTTAAATAAAAATTATTATAACCGGTGTGGAAATTGTTTTTTACCACTTCAGAGATGCTACATCATCACTACAACTACTATGTCATGTAAAATGACACTTAAATGGAGTTGAGATTAAAATCCAAAAAAACTTGAAAAATTACCAAAATCCATGATTTTAAAAATAGGAGATAAAAAAAAATCAAAGTTACAACTAAACCAAAAAATAAAAACGTCAGAATTTTTAAAAAATATTAAATTTTAAAGAACTTTATTTTTGAAATTAAATAAACACTACTTTTTAAATTTAAAATTTTATTTTTTAAATTTTAAAAATAAAATTAATGTAATATTTTTTTAATTTAAAGATAATTTATTTCTTAATTTTAAAAAATAACGTCAAATTTTAAATTTTAAAATTTAAAACTAATACGAGATTTTTTAATTTAAATATAATATATTTTTTAAATTTAGAAAAAAAACGTCAAATTTTAAATTTTAAAAAATAAAATCAGCGTGAGATTTTTTAAATTTAAACATCATTTATTTTTTTAATTAAAAAACATCGAGTTTTTAAATAAAAAACATTATTAATTTTAATTTTAATGTAAATTATAATTATGAAGTTATGTCCTAACTAATTATAGTCTTAATTAGTATAACTTACTTCTTTATTTTCGCAATTTGTTAATATTAAAGAAGGTCTATTATGAGGTATCCTAAAGAAGGGCTACCATAAGATAACCCAAAGAAGGACTACCATGAGGTAGAACAAAGAACAGCTACCTTGAGGTAGGGCAAAGAATGAATGCCTCGAGGTATTCCATATAAAGACTACCTCAAGGTCTCCTAAAGAAGGTATATCACGAGGTAGCCAAAAGAAAGGCTACCATGAGATAGCCTAATAAAGGATACCAATAGGTAACCCAAATAATGGATACCTCGAGGTCCCCCATAGAAGGGTACCTCAATGTCGCCCTAAGAAGGGCTACCATGAGGTCTCCCAAAGAAAGGTTATGATGAGGTAGCCCAAATAATGACTACCTTGAGGTAGCCCAAATAAGGGCATGAGGTCGCCGATAAGGGGTTACTTCGTGATCTCCCAAAGAGGGACTACATTGAGATGTTCTAAAGAAGGGCTACCTTGAGGTATCCTAAATAAGGGTTAAGCCAGCCTGTTGGACTTAGGATAAAATACTGATCCAATCCACATTTTAGTAAGAAAACACATGTCACTCGTTGGTCCAAAAAGAAGGTAAAAGTGATGTGGCAAATTTTCATCTCTATTAGTGGAGAAAGAGCCACTCCTCACTTAGTGAATTAAGGGGAACACAGAGGAAATGAGTTTGACTTCCTTTCCTATCCAACAATTGGAATGCTCTATAAATACCCCAACATTAGATCTAAGGAGGGACATCCTAATTCTAACAATGAAAACTAATAACACAAAGAAATACACATATACAATAGCGTATCACGTCACGTGAAATAGCTCTCAATATCCTAACAATCTCAAAGTCTCAGATAAATATCTTAAGTTCTTTTTATAACTAATTTAAGGTTTTAAAATGGCATTGGAGATACATTATAAGAAGGAATATTGTTTACATTGAAAAACATAATTTTTGAAAGGAGGAATTGCAGGATGGTAATGAGCGAGCAAGAAAGCTAATGAATTACAACAAGATGAAAAAATTATTTGTGTCAACATAAAAAGAATTCAAAATAGTGTCAAAGTAACTTCTCTTAATGACACATATTAATAAGCGGAGCATGTTGGAAAATTATGTGCATACAAAACGTTAACTCAATGCATATGAAAGTTATTAGATATGCACCATCATGACATTTGACAAAACACCTATGAAATTTGAAGTGTTGAGACTTCTTTAAAGATAGAAATGGAAGTTCTTCGTTTAAAAAGTCTAAAAATTCCTCGAAATGTCACTTATCAAGAAATTCAAATACATTACATATGTCTTGAGGCATTTGAAAAAGGATACTAATTTGAAAGAGTTGTTAACCATTTAAGAGAAGAAGCTTGTACAAAAAATTTGTAATAGTTAGTTTAAATTGGTTACGAACTACATATGCAAGGAGGAAATTGGTTTTTAATTTTCTATAACTTAGGGGAAAAAACCTCAATTGTGAAAGGAGATTCATTTTCCATTCAAAAGCTTATCCAACATATAAATTTCACATCTCTATATACACAAAAAATAATAATATCGATTGGTCCGAATGAACACATAGAATATATTTTTTTACTTACCCTTAGTATGGGAATGGATTAGTAACATTGACGCAGGAAAGACACGGTACCTTTTGGCCAAATAAATCCGTTAGATAAATCATACGCTTCACATTCAGCCAAGTATTTTTTTTTTATAATTTTTTTCTTCAGAAAAGTAAAAATAATATCGTACCCACCGCCACCATCCTGTCAGCCATCTTCATCTTCACATCTCAGCTGCAAATTATCACCGTTCTACAACGATTCCACCGTAGAGGTATCTATCCTCTCTATGTTTAATTAGATTTTCCAATTTCAAGCTTCTCCACCTCTACTTTTGAGTTTATGTGCAAATTATTTGGAAAACTCCCTTAAAAGGACAAATTTCTCAGGTGGAACAATAAAGAAGAGATTGATGGCAGGCTGAGGGAGCATGAAGACGAAGAAGATAGGGCAATATGAGCATGAAGTAGAACGACGATGGCGGTACCACAAGAAATGGGTCTCCATACGTTTTTATTTTAATTTTTTAAGGAAATAAAATACATGACACGTGGCAGGATCTGAAATGCATGATCCATCTAATAGATAGAATTAAGACAAAGTTATGTGACTTTGGCGGGCTAAAGTTACCTAATCCGTATCCCCTTAGTATACATACTTGTTTTCCACATGTTTCTCTTTTACTTTTCTTTAATGTATATTTTTTTTCATTTTTCTTTTGTATTTTTTTGTGATATTCGAAACATGGAACATTTATAAGTTATTCAAACTTTAACAAAGACTTACAGTAAGAAATCTATCAAATAAGAAGTTAACCCAAGTCTTAAATTTGTTGAGAATCAAGTGTGAGGAAGAAGTCTCACATTGATTATAAAAGGGAAGATTGAGCACTTATAAGTGAGAGAACCCACTCATCTATCACCTTAAGGTTTTAGATGGACAAGTGGTGTGTCTCTCACAAAGGTGTGTCCCAAGTAAAATGTTCTCTCCTCGGAATTGTCCCTACAGTGGTATCAGAGCCTTTGGTTTCGAGATAGGGACCGACTTACTTGTATCAAGCGGTGGTACAAGTGTATGTGGAAGAGAGTCATTCCACATGAGAGGGAGCATTGTGACTCACACTTGAGGGAGAGTGTTGAGAATCAAGTGTGAGGAAGAAGTCCCACATTGATTATAAAAGGGAAGATTGAGCACTTATAAGTGAGAGAACCCACTCATCTATCACCTTAAGGTTTTAGATGGACAAGTGGTGTGTCTCTCACAAAGGTGTGTCCCAAGTAAAATGCTCTCTCCTCGGAATTGCCCCTACAGTGGTATCAAAGCTTTTGGTTTCGAGATAGGGATCGACTTACTTGTATCAAGCGGTGGTACAAGTGTATGTGGAAGAGAGTCATTCCACATGAGAGGGAGCATTGTGACTCACACTTGAGGGAGAGTGTTGAGAATCAAGTGTGAGGAAGAAGTCCCACATTGATTATAAAAGGGAAGATTGAGCACTTATAAGTGAGAGAACCCACTCATCTATCACCTTAAGGTTTTAGATGGACAAGTGGTGTGTCTCTCACAAAGGTGTGTCCCAAGTAAAATGCTCTCTCCTCGGAATTGCCCCTACAGTGGTATCAAAGCTTTTGGTTTCGAGATAGGGATCGACTTACTTGTATCAAGCGGTGGTACAAGTGTATGTGGAAGAGAGTCATTTCACATGAGGGGGAGCATTGTGACTCACACTTGAGGGGGAGTGTTGAGAATCAAGTGTGAGGAAGAAGTCTCACATTGATTATAAAAGGGAAGATTGAGCACTTATAAGTGAGAGAACTCACTCATCTATCACCTTAAGGTTTTAGATGGACAAGTGGTGTGTCTCTCACAAAGGTGTGTCCCAAGTAAAATGCTCTCTCCTCGGAATTGCCCCTACAAAATTGACCTTTCAAGTTCAGTTATTGAAAGTAAATTCATTATGATTAACAAGTGGTTAACATCATTGTTTCGTATAAAGAGTGACTTTAGAGCATTAGTATTTGTCAAAATCAAAACGAAATTCCAATTCACTCTTATCATTGTAAAAAGAAGATACTCACTAAATGATGGCCCCGTCTCTGGTGCGCGATGCACATAAGTCTCTCATATGAGAGACTTTTTTTCTTCTTAAATGAACAAGGGTCATTAGATTAGGTGTCTACACTATCATTCAATGTATTATCACACACAATATCACTACCATCCCTTATTACATTATCACACACAATATTTAATGGTGCACTATCACACACAATATAATACTCTCAATTATGAATTTTTTTAGCAATAATCAGGTATTAAAATATACACAAATGACAATGTTTCAAAGAAATTTATGAAAATAACCATGTTTTAGAATATACATCAATGGTGGCGCCATCTCACTTGACGCATGCACTCACCTTTTTGCCTTAGGCGCCATCTCACTTGGCGCATGCACTTTCTTTTAGCCATGTGAGATGGCGCATGCACTATAATATAGGGAGGAGGCGGCATCTGAGATGGCTACTACATGCAATTGTATTTTCTATAAATAAAAAACTCATTTCTCCATCATTCTTCACACTTTCTCACATTATGTTCTCATTTCTCTTTGTTTTTTGCGTCATGACATCTCCCGTGATTTTCACCAGAGATGGGTGCGCTATTTTCTCGGTCACCAAACCTCCGATGAAAATGAAATTTTGTCACATTCATTACATGGAGCGTCTGGAGAGAGAGTTAATGTGATGGCTAGAGGGAGACATCGAAGCCGGGGAACAAATTAGAAGGATCCGGAGAAGAAGAACAACCATCTCACTTGTAACTGGAAGACCTCAATCTTGGTTGGAGGAAGTCAAAACAGACAGAGACGTAATGGTGATGATGCATGGCTCTGATGAAATTGTTTTAACGATCGTAACTTCTTAGATGTTTTATCGTATTGTTGATGTTATATTTACCTGTTGTATTTTATCGTAATAGTGGTGATGTGTTTTTATTTGTTGTTTTCGTATGGTTTGTTGTAACAAATGCTCTTAATGAAAAAGGTTACGTTTAGATCTTAAAAAAGTGTATATAGTTTGCATACAATTTTTATGTTGTTGAGCTTGTACCACGAGTGGGACAAATTTTTCGATCGTGTCCAACCTGACGGCATAAACCACACTTTCTTTCTAGATTTTCAAGGGAGTCAATTTCAGTTGTGATACACTTGCTTTTGGGACGACCTTTTTTATTCCTTGGCATTTGATCGTTGTGCCATACTATTCCCCCTTCGTATGCAGGCCAATAATCAGGTTTCGCTACCACTAGAAAGCCATTGTTGTATACGCTGAGCAATGTTTCGGACTTGTTTCGAACCCTTTTTATTCTCATTATATGATCGTTTAATCATTATTGAAAATCAACTTTCATTTGCAACGATATTACTTTTTAATTCCTTAACAAAAAAATATTTTAAAAAAGTACTTTGTACATAGGCGCCATCTGAGATGGCTTAGGGAAAATGGCATGCACCTAGGCGTCATCTCACTTGGCACCTCCTTTAAAAAAAGAAATGCATGTGTCATCTGAGATGGCTATTGCATTATAATGTTTTCTAAAACATGATTATTTGCGTAATTTTCTCCGAAACATGATTATTTGTATTTTTTTTAAACATAGTTATTTATATTTTTTCCCTAATTATTGATTTATATTATATATTAGGTCATGCTAACCAATACCCTGAGGGCACTCTTTAAGGATATCAAATAAAGAAAATATTCTTTATAAAAGTCAATTATTTCAATTTCCAATACATTAGTTACATGCATTCCTAAAAAATCTTACTACTTTAAATACTTAAAGAGTACCGCTAGGACATTGGCTAGCATTTTCCTATATATTATATATTAATTAATGAATCATTACATATTGATTCTATTATATCAAATTGAGTAATAACCAATATACTCTTTTTTCTAATTGGTTGTTGTTATAATTGGTCTTTCTTCAATATTCTTACCAGATTGTTCATGTCCACTTTCTGCACTAAGTGTTTTAAAACCCAGTCCGACCCGGCCGGTCGGACCGGTCTGACCGAGAACCGGTGGGCCAGGCGGTCCGATTAAGGGATAAGATCGGAATTACATTTAGACCGGATGAAACCGGTGTGAATCGACCGGATCACCGATTAAACCAGTGAACCGGCGGTTTTTACTGAACCGACGAATTTGACCATTTATTTAATTTTTTAGGGCTTTTGAAAAAAACAATTAACATAAACGCTTTGCCTCCTCGTTTCCCAAACCTAGGCATTTGAAAGGTTTACTTTTTTATTCTGTCTTTTCTTTTTCTAATTGAATTCATATTCTCAATTTTCTCTACCAACAAAAACTCCCACTTGTTGCTGTTATTTGATATTCCTTATTTGCCGTCAAAAATTTCATCAAAACATCAAAAACAGGTTATTTCTTTTTTACTTGGTCTAATTTGCATTGATGTTTTTCAATATGAATATTATTGTTTCATTTTGTTGATTAATTGATATAGAAAATAAATGATTAAATTTGATCATTTTCTATAAAATTGGGTCTTTTAGTTTAACAAATTGAGATAGAATTTGTATGAATGAAGCAGTTTTATACTTTTATGAATTAACTTATTATAGACTGGTAATGAAGTTGTTGTATATTGGAGATAGAAATTGGGATAGATATATATTACTGTAATAGTCGTTGTATATATTATGGAGATAGAAATTGGGTTTAAAACTATGTAATCTAAATTATATAGTAAGACAAAGTTTTCTGTTTTTTATTAATTTAAATTATATAACAAAGAAAAGTTTCAGGATTTTATTAATCTAAAATATATAGCAAAGGCTGGAAAGTTTCTATTTTTTTTATTATATATGGTGATGTACAGTAACGATGCTTGGTAGCCTATATGTAATATACAACAACATATTCATGTATTTTGGATTTAGATATGCTACATATTTAATGTTTCTTATAATGTTTTTATAAATTCAATAATTTTTGTTTAGAATTGTGTTTTGTTAATATTTTTGTATTT